ACATTCAATACTCTTCTCCAGCACCACAGCTCAAAGGCTTCAATTCTCTTTCTGTCCTCCCTAGTCATTGTCCAGCTCTCTGATGCATAACAAGTGATTGCAAAGACCATGGCCTGTATCAGGCGCACCTTCATCTCCAAAGAGGCACCGTTGCTCTTGAGTACTTTAGAGAGGTCCCTAACAGTTTGCTCAGCTCCACAGTCAACACTCTTGGCACCAGCAGCATGAATAGATACAACACCTATTATATTAATCTAGTTATATAATAACCTGATTATTGTCATCATCTTTTTAGTGATATTTCCAATGTGTTACCACTTCGTTCTAAATTGTCTTTGAAGGTACTGGCAGAAATATTCAGCCCGTAGTTTGTATCGTATTGAGGTTCTATGAGACAAGAAATCCCATAAGCTCGCCTTCCCAAGCCCATCTGTCCTCAGTGGGAACTCAAGACATCTCATTTCACAGCAATGGAAATTCAATGGAAATTCACTTCTTGTCTGACCGGGAATTAAGAAAGGTTTTGGCTGGAAGTGGCTCCCTCAAGAGAACGAAATCTTTGTGTACCTGCTTCTCCGGCACTAGAAACCAAACTCTTCTTTCTCCTACCTCATCAAGACTCATCTCTACCTTTATGAGCGCTGGATGAGTCGTGGGTAAAAGACCGTTACACCCCCCTCTTCCCGATTAAAACTACAATCCCCAGAATGCAGCTTTTCTTTCGAACACAACGATCCAGGCATCCCAGAAAGCAATGCACCTCCCCAGCCCGGAAGACTGTTTGCCTTCTGTCCCTCTGAAACTGGACAATGCATGCTGGGACTTGTAGTCCTCGCTGCGCCCTTCCCTGGGTTCTCTACATTACTTTGTCCGGTCCCGCCTCTGCTCTCTTGTAACCTTTTGGCTGTTAATCCTTTTGAAGACCAGGAAGTTTTCAGATTCCGAGATCGGCCGCTAGAAGACGGTGGCTCTGGTGGGACAGTCACCAGGGATGGCGGAGAGGGAGCATGGAGCGTTTGTCCGAGCTGTTTTCCTGGATGCTGAACAGAGTTCTTTGGCGCTCGGACCCCTTTGAGTGGGGAGGTGCCCGGCAGCCCCGGAACATGGAAGAGAAAGCGCTAGAGGTTTATGGTAATTTTACCCACGGCAGCATTTGACTTTATACATGAAAGCTAGGGTTGGGGCGTGTGACAAATGAAGGCCTCTCGAGGTGGTGAAGTGAAAACACAGGGTTTTGCTGGATTTTGTTGGGAGAATGGGAAGTGGTTTTTCTGGGATCGTAAGACAAGCAAGGAAGAGAGGGGCCTGTGCATTTTTTCCAAACGTGGAACAAGCTGAAGTTACAGTTCTTAAATGCTTCTTTTCATTCGTCCACCCCGTACCGTAGAGGTAAAGACAAACTTTTTGTCTTGGCAGAACAGGAGTCTGGGGCGTATGGTTAAGAAAGTTAGGCGATGCACTGTTTGAGCCTTCTTTTTTCTTGTCCCATGCCCCTGGACTTAACTATCCTCGGGCTATACCACCGAGGGCACTGGTAGATGTCCAGTTGGGAACTGGCCCAAGGTCACAGTCACTGTTCTGTGCCAAAGTCAATTAGCAGAAGTCCCTAAGAGGACGACGAAATAGCAGAGCTCCAAGCTTCCACTTCCTGTAACACAGCCCTGAACTTGTAGTGTAAAATAACATGTATTTTTATATTATTCAATGAGTATCAAGCATTTTTCTATTTAACTCTTGAGACCAACTTATTGTTGTTGTTAAGTGTTGTTGAGTAGTAGAAAACTCATAGCGACTCTATGAACGAAAGACCTGAACACTTGCATAATTTTCATCATTTCTCCAAGTTCTTAGAGTTTCCAGAGGTGAACTATTTTGGAAGTGGATGCTACTTCTGCTTCCAAGCTTGTTTTAATTGGGGAGCTCCACCAAACACTGTCCACCATGGGTAACCATTATTGCATTTCACACACCAGTGTTAGTGTTTAGCATCACAGAAACTTAGAAGAATGTTTGACCAAAAACAATTACAATCAGACCTGAGGGCTGCAGATTAAAATTACCCACCTTTGGCTTGGTAGCGTCACTTTCTGTCCACTAGGCCAACTGAGCTCTCTCGTTGTTTTTATTGTTGTTAAGGGCTGTCAAGTCGTAGACAGCTCATAGCGACCCTATGAACCAAAGACCTGAACACTTGTATAACTTTCATCGTTCTCCAAGTTCATGTACAATTTATTGTACAGGTGAGGAAATCCATCTTGTTTACTAAGAGAACTCTGGTGGCGCAGTGGTCAGAAACTGCACTGTGATTCCAGAGGCACATGATTCAAATTTATAAGTTCCTCTATGTGAGAAAGATGGGCAGTCTCCTCCTTTGCTATTTATTTCTGGGTTACAGTGCTTAACCACTTTGAAAACTCAATGGGGAAGTTATATTCTAAGGAGCCCTGGTTGGGTAGTGCATTGCTTTGCTAACTGGTTCTGCTCACCAGCTACCACAAAGAAGAAAATGAGCCAACTCCCTCCCTGAAGATGTACAGCCTCAGAAACCCGATGGAGGGTCACTATGAGTTGGAATCTATGAATGTGATGGGTTTAGTTTTTATTTTTAGTAATAAAGCAAGTAACTGGTGATTATAATGCCAGTTAAGTATCAGAGTCACAGCCTAAATCTCCAGTTTCTAAGTTCATACCCTTTTCACTTCACCTCAGTTGCCTTATGACATGATATTTTTGAAATGATAAGTTTTTTTGGGAGGGGGGGGAAAAGATTGGATCTACTGTTGAGAGATTCTTGTTTCCTACAGGTAAAAGATCTCACCGTAAGAATAAAAAAGAATTCAAGTCAGGATTATATAAATTGGGAGTAGAGAAGAACTTTTGGAACTAATTGGGTTTTTTTCCCCCTCTTACTGGAGACCGTTGTGTACCACTGAGTGGCAACCAACCCATAACTGACTCTCCGGCAGCAGTAAAGTGTATGAGAGGAGATTACCCAGCTTTCTCCCTCCAAGCAGCTGGCGGATTTGAACCTCATTCTTTGGATTGGAGGCAGGGCTTACTTAATCAAGCCCCAAACAACTAAACTAATTGTCCAGTGGATTTTGACTCATATTGACACCAAGGGTTGTGGGGTAGACCTGAACTCCATTAGAGCTTTCAAAGTTTGACCACTGGGATTCATGATGACCTTGTTTTTTTTTTAATGTTTTTTGTTTTATTATTTTTGTGTGAGTGTACCGTCAAGTCAGATCTGACTGGTACAGGAGGAGATTGTCCCTCCTATCCCAGCAGAGCATCTGGTGGATTCGAACCGTGTGCCTCTGGGATTTTAGTTGCAGCTCCTTACCACTAGGCCACCAGAGCTCCCCTTCATGATGACCTTGTATGTTGCTGAGTAGAACTATAAGGTTAAGGCTGTAACCTTTAGGAAACAGCTCTCCAGGCCTCCTGAGATACTGTGAGTGGGTTCTTCTTAATAACTTTTTGGTTAGTAGTTGAACATTCATCCGTTTTCACCACTTAAGCAACCTGAGCCAAATGATAATTATGAGTGGGATGAAGTCCATGATTCCACTCATAATTACCATTTGGCTCAGGTTGCTAGGCCTCTGTCTGTAGGACATAGTAATTGGATATAGGCTTCAGTATGAGATACAGAAATTCAGGGGAGAGACAGTAAACTGATGGGAGTGGTGAGTAGGGGGAGATTTGGAAAAGCTTTAAGAAGAATGAAGAATAAGTCTTGAAGAATATGTAGCATCTAACCTCAAGTGCACCTGATTCAGGCCTTTCAGTTGCTTGCTATGCATCTGAGAGCTGGACAATGAATATGAATGATAGAAGAAGAATTGAAGCCTTTGAGTTGTGGTGTTGGAGAAGAGTACTGAATATTCATCCCATGGACTGCCAAAAGAACAAACAGATACGTCTTGGAGAAAAGTATAGCCAAAATGTTCCTTGGGGACAAAGATGGTGAAGCTTTGTCAGCATACTTCAGGCATGTTGCTAGGAGGGGTTATTCCTTGGAAAAGGACATTATGGTTGGAAATGTGGAGGGTCAGAGAAAGAGAAGAAGACTAATGAGATGGATAAACACAGTGACTGCAGCACGGGGCTCAAGTGGTCAGAGATAGCACAGGATAGGACAAGGTTCAGGCCTGTTGTTCATAGGGCAGCTTTGAGTAGGACTTGACGGCACCTCTGTTGGAGAAACTTGAATATTTGATGGACTGCCAAAAGAATAGGTATGTCTTGGGGAAATGGAACTAGAGTTTTTCTAGGAGGCAAAGATGGTAAAGCTTTGTCTCCCATATTTGGACATGTTAGGAGAGTTCCTTGGAAAGGGATATTATCATCATGATGCTTAGAAAAGTGGTGGGCTAGTGAAGGAGATGACCCTCGATGAGATGGATGGATCTAGCATCTGTGCCAATGCACTCAGATGTGTTGGGATTGATAAGGATGTTCAGACCTGTGGTTTGGTATGAGTCGTGCTTGACTTGAAGGCACTTAGCAGCACCAGCCACTCAAATCACAATAAAAAAATGAGGAAAAAGGTTTAAATGTATTCAGATATACCTGCCACTTTGAGAAAAATTTAGTAGTCTATGGGACTGTTCTACTCTGTTTTATGAGAAATGATGATGACAGCTTGGTTTTTGGTTGTTTATAATAAATAGAAGGTCAGGGTGTATTAGGTCATATTAAAGCAAATGCATAGAGGTGGAAAATGGCCTATTTAAAAAACATTTCTAGTACTCCTATGGCAAGAGAATTTTTCTTTTTGAAGAAATCTTAACCTCACAAGTCATCAGAGAAGTTTCATAATCGGTAATAATTAACTTCAGATTGAAGTAGTAAATATAAGACTGCAATATAGCCTTTATAGGTGAGTTTTTGTAGATTTAAAGTAAACACCCCTTTAAAAAACCTTGTTATCACAGCTTTGAGAAGAACTTTATCTTCTTTTTCCCACCTGTAATTAAAATTTTCATTTCTAATCAGATGATAAGTACAGGAGATAGTTCGTAGAAGATTTGATTAGTTTGGTTTTTTTTTATTTCCCCCA